GGATCTAGGGGAGGGCAATGCTTATATATAACTTTAAGAATACCAAACTTACAGTGGACATAGTAGTTCCGGACTTATTAGAAGTAAACAATGATGGGATAACAGTATTATTTTTATTACGTGGTTCTTACGTCATGATAATAACTATTCAAACAGCGACCATCTTCGATCTACCATGATTTAAATAACAGCAGAAAACCTATGAAAACTAGCTAAGGCTAATCAACATCAATAAAAGAATGTTCAAAGTATCAAAAATATCGACACGTTAGAGCGTCAAAGCTGAGTTGAATTACTGGTTTGCACTGTCACGCAATCAAAAATAAAAATCACAACCACTCTTTAAATTAAGTCAAGAATCTGGGATATGATAGATGATAGATATACAAACAACCCTACCAAGAAAGAAGAAGCAAAAGCGGTTTACATTTCAAAAATCATCTTTTCTGCCGCTTTGTAAATGCGACAATCCGATTTCGTCTCGCGGCTTCACTATCTTCATTAACTATTAACTCTCATCGGGCGAGTTTTCACTATCTTCATTGACTATAACTCTCATCGAGGGCGAGATTCTCAGGTTTTATAAAATCCTCCAACATTCAACACGGTCCGATAACTGTAAGAGATTATGCAATAATATTGCATAATCTCACAAAAATTATCTGTGACTTAGGAGTTACCTTTATATTGTTTTTCGTCGACTGATGCAATAAGAGTGAAAAACTTTCTTACTTGTTCGGCAATGTTTCCCCGAGAATTCCTTCGTACAAAGGCATACATAGCTGTTCTTCTCGTACTGTGATACACAAGTTCCATTGTTCTGACAAGGCCAACGGCTGCATGGGGACTGAAAACGAAAACGTAAAGGAAAACGAAAAGTTAAGGCCGAGCACACAAACCTACCTAAAATGGTGCTCCTGTACTGCCTAGGACTAACCCGCATAAGATGCAAGCGGAATTATTTTAGCAAGTGAGAGATTCTTGCAGGAGGGTGAGGGTGGTTTTGCAAGCTTGAAGCTCTCGCAAGG